TCCTTCCTTTTGAATCAAGGGGGTAATGTCAGCGTATATAAATTTTTTGGGGGGTAAAAGCTAAAAAAGTTCCCTGACCCCTGCTCTACAGAATCCTCAAAACTACTGTACTTTAAAAAAGCAGAAACAAAGTAACAGTCATCTATTATATAAGTGGACAGTAACAATAGTACAGTGGACCCTCTACTTAAGGAATTAATCTGTATTGGAACAGTGGCTGCAAGTCGAAAAGTCTGTAGGTCGAATCTCCATTGACCTACAATGCATTGAAAACTGATTAATCCCATAATCAGTGGCTTTTATTCTATTTTTGTTCCATTTTGGTTTTTTTCTGGTCTGTAGGTCGATTCTCCGGCTGCAAGTCGAATCTAAATTTTGCAGCCAGAGAAGTCTGTAACTCGAAAAGTCTGTAAGTCGAGCCGTCTGTAAGTCGAGAGGGTCCACTGTATACCAGAAAGAAAAATCAATTGTCATCAGATTTATGGAGCCACTAATAATACTTTAAATTTCACATTTATAATCATACCATCAGCATCAGCAGGGAATGGTGCAGATGAGAAAGAGAAATCATCATCATGATAATCATACTCAGACCTATGCTACTTTTCATCATCATTGTCATCGTCAATCATCATTGTTATATATTTATTTATTTATTTGTTACATTTATAGCCCACCCATCTAGTCATACCGACTACTCTGGGCGGGTAACAACACATCAAATCTAATACAATTTAAAATCATAGTAACATTTATCATTGCAGGCTGTTCCCAGTGCCTACTACTACCCACACCACTTCTTAGACTATATGAGATGGTAATCTTTGGGGTTTAAGAGAGAAATCTGGCTGGCCTCAGAAATGAATGAGGCAGTTTTGCAGACATAGGTCAAAATGAAAGTAATCTGAACGAGAAAATCCAAATGATGATGATACATATGTGGATCAAAGGAAGTATTCCAAATGAGGAAATCTGAAAGAAATCTGATTCCCCCCAGATTCTTCATTAATTAGATTTCAGAGGCTGTCTTTCAAAAATGAGCAAAAGAATCTGAAAACAATAGAGAGAATTTCTTTGCTGTTATTTTACCCCTAGTAGGATCTTCCTTGGGTTGCTGGAAGTCAGAAGCAACATGATAGTGAATAACAAAAATAATGTTATTTGTTGGGTATGGTGACCAGAACAAAGTATTGCAAAGATAGTTGCATCATGGTGTAAGGGTAGTATGATATAACCATTTTATTTTTAGTTACTTTTCTGGTTATTACCCAAATTAAATTAACCTTTTTAACAGTAAGGTGAAAAACACTGAGTGACATTGTCACCAAGCTATCTCCTACCTCACCCATCCTACAAAATCTATTTCTTGCTTGGTTGATGCATCCCATTAGTGTTTATTTGAAACTTGATAGTTGTTTTTGCCCCAGAATGTGTCACTTTAATACGCTTAATGATATCAAGAAATTGAACTTGATAATGTCCATTTTGAAGAACAATTTCCTACATTTATATGTATTAAGAGAATTATATGGATCTTTGAATTACTTGC